TTTGTTTGTGCTAGTAAACGAGCACAAATTTGCAATTTGTGACTGCAAGTTGCTGCAAGTAATGAAATTGATTGAACCTAACGACCACAAACAAAACATTCAGTCATTTTATTGAGCTAATTTATCACTTGTTCCACGTTAATCCACGCTTACTATTATTGGCTATATCAGAACATTCCCATTGAAATAAATTCTTTCGTGGTAAGTAAGCATACTTTTAGCCGAACTGTTAGCTGAAGGCAAAAAATAATTGAATAAAGTTTAAAAATCCAAACTCGTATGCTTAATATAAATCAAATTAATATAAATTTTAATATAAATCAAAATTCATAAATAACATATATTCATTACAACATATTTGCTATAATACTGGAAGTTTTTGTGAGAGATATTTAAAGTTACTAAAATTATTTGAAAAATGTGAAGAACAATTAAGTAAAAGTCAAAGGCTGGCATTTGTGTTTTAAAGTTTAAAGCCTCTCTGATCACTCAAAAATTAGCATACTTGCAGTTGCAATCATTTTTACAATAAAATTACAACATTACAATTTTGTGCCACACCAAACAGTTTATGAAAATATTATTTAAAATAAGAAGCAAAACTTTTCATTAAAAAATTTAAAGCATTTCAAGAGTGTTAAAATGTTTATTGTAAGGTAGCTGAAGATAATTTCCGCCTTATCTGTTAACAAATTCAGAAATAATCATTCTATTATTGTGATTCTTTGTTCCGCAATCTTTTTGCAGTCAATTATTTGTTAGTCGAATGGAACTGTAATGCGAATCTACCATCTGAAGGAATATGATTGAATCCCTCTAAGTTAGAATGCTATGTAGACACAGCAACAATAAAATTATCTTCCTGATATTGGTAGGCATGCTTATGTGAATTAAAAATTCGGATTATAGCTTATACTTTATGAATATATTGCTGTATAAACAGTTACTGCGAGTGTACAGTAGCCTAAATCGTTGATTATTTTTATGGTACAATGTCAAATACATGTTAGTCAAGGTAAGCAGTAAAACATCCTTCATATTATGATCTAATAAAGCTGATTGATTGCTATTTATCGTTTAATTCTTGACAATATTAAATATTCATATTGCTTTATTTACTTCGTATCTTATTATGGAATTTAAAATATAAAAACAACATTATTTTTATCACTATCGATATCATTAATTAATTAATTAAATATGAATGATGTTTTCGCATCACTAATAATAATATCAACAATAACACTGATAAACATGCCTATCCACTTATGCTAATATCAGTATTAACCACTGTAAAACTGCATTTTAAAACACTTTACTAATATATGTTTCTGTAAGCATCACTGATAAAAGTTATAAATGTTTTCATACCATTTTCAGTTTTATTAATTATAACTTTTATTACTTATACTTAATGCTAAGTGAAATTTTCCGCCTGTTATTCGAGATGGATTTAATCTTTGATGAGGTCAGTGCAACAAGGTCATGAGGTCAATGCAATAAGGTTGATATAATCTTTTTTTGATCTGTTAAAAGCTTTTCATTTAATAACATAACGAGCAGTCATTCAATCCTTATAAAAATAAATTAGTCACTAAATTAAAAAAAAATTAATGTTTATGAAGAGATAATACTTTGTAGCGCGAATGAAATTTTTAGTGTAAGAAATTGAAAAATTCACCTTAACTGGTTTCTGATGAGATTTTTTTGCAAAAAAAAATTGTTTCTAAATTTTTGGTATTTTTTTTTGACTTTGAATTTTAAACAAATTGTTTGCTAACATCATTTTACATTAATATTCGAATATTTATGCTAAAATTGGTAATGTTTATAATCTGGATTATTTTGACTGAAAAGGATATATTATTCTGGTTGTTAATTTAAGCTATGCTTTATTTTAAAGAGCAATCTCTCCTTTGATGAGCAATTTGCAATTATTCATTGGGAATTTAGAAGTTAAAATGGGATTTAAAGTAAATGAGTAAGTTTGAAATTTTCAATCTGCCCACTTTTTTTCAAGAAAAAAAACTCTTATGCATAACGATTTATGTATATAATGCTAATTTTTTCAACTTTCAGCATTATTAATTTTTTAATTTTTTGAATTTTCTTATCATTGTAATTTTACAGTTTTCTAAGTTGCTGGACAGATTTCAAATATTTATATTTTGACATTATGATTTATTACTTTGTCAGATATTTGAAAATTTGTCAATTTTGTAGTCGCAAATTTTGAATTAACAACTTTTTTCATAATCAATAATTTTTCATTTGTGGTACTACTAATAAGAATAAAAATACATTCATAACTTTGAAATGTTTGAATCATGTTACTTTTATATTATTATGCAAATTATCAAGCCATCAAAGAAGTATGATCAAAATATATTTCACTACTCTTTCTCATGTCTTAAATATATATTATATTTTGTCTTATATATTTTTTTTTTCAATATTTTTTTCTCTACTTTTTCTCATGTCTTATGTTTTTCTTAAATATCTTACAAGTATACAGCATACTAACATAGCGCGCGCATACACACAGTGATGTACTCATAAATACACGCACAAATTCACATACACACGTACAAATTCACTCACGCACGTACAAATTCACATACACACGTACAAATTCACTCACGCACGTACAAATTCACATACGCACGCACAAATTCACATACGCATGCACACATTAACATACGCATGCACAAATTGATAAAATTGTAAAAAAATCATAGTAATTAATTTCACAATTGATTTACAAAAAATAACGCAATCAGAAACCGTCCGATGAACAACTTGTTCTAGCCACTTATTTATGTCAATGTGTGTATGTGTGTGCATGAATTAGTATTTGTATAAAATACTTCTGCGTGTGTATGTCTGAAGCATGTTCATGCTTGAATATGCGTGCATATAGACAGACGTGTGTATTTTCTACTTTTTTAAATTTTTCCTACGAATCATCACAAGTACTGTCTTCTTGCATGTTGCATTTTGGTATGCGTTTACGCTTACAATGCAAACATATCTCTTTGCGTATATATGTGAGCATATCCGCAGGTTTGTACTCAAAAATCTGTGCCATATGTGTTTGTAGAGCGTCTGTCTTTGAGTATATATATGCAAGTATTGTATGTATACAATTGCATAGATGTGTGTATATGTGTGTGTGTGTGTGTGTGTGTGTGTGAGTGTATGTAAGTGTATGAACATGAACATGTATGTATGTGCATATGCGTATATGTAAGTGTATGTATGTGTCTGTGCGTGTGTGTATGTGTATGTGTATGTACACACATATGAATTGTATGTATGTGTATGTATGACATAGATGAAGAACAAAAGATGGCGGCTGCAGACGTATCAGTGAGTCTTTAATATAATGTGAAGAAAATTGACGTGTCCAGTCAAATACCCGCCAGTAAAGATCGTTTGCTTTTGTTTCGATCGTTCAACACGTACACACACACTCATTCTTTCAACGATAATAATCAGTACGCTAGCCTCTTTTTATCCGAACAAATTAATTTCTCGAAGAGATAATTTGTTTTTTTGTAATTTTTTCTTTCTCTTTTTTTTTTTTGAATTAATTAAATAAATTTGTTATGATTTAACTCACATACCATTTCTTTCTTACGTTCTGCTCTCACGTATTATTCACTATCAAATTACGTTTTTCACTTACGGAATTTATTTCAATTTTTTATCCTATCAGTTTGCAAATTTTTCTTAGTAAGCATTTATTTGTATTTTTTTTCGTTTTTTAAGATATTATTTTAGTGATTACTACTTAAAATATGTATTTTAAAGGATTTGAATTTTTAAATATTTCTTTTCCTTACAAATTGTCAAGTACGAAGTTTGAAATTTGTGAATTTTTGAATTAATTTGTTCGGAATGTTATGTTACCAATTGGTAGCATTTTAGTCTGAGCAGAGTTCCAAAAATTGCATTGCTTTCTCATGTAGAGAACTGAGATAAGTATTTGCTATTTGACACAACAATACTGTCTTGACCTTATTCTCAATTACATTGTTAACTGAATATCTGAAATGGCCTTTTTTAATTATTTTTGAAATAACCTTGAAATTCTACCCTTTCACTTTGTAGTATGTCATTACTGTTGGTTTATGCAAATTTTATTATACATTTTCGTTTATTCAGTGTGTGAATATATTTTCGTAATTAGTTGTGTACTGAAGTTATCTAAAGTTCAGGAGGTCATCGATTGAATAATCGATTTGTTTATATCCTCTTCTCAAAGTGTAACCTTCGGTCATTTGAATGTGCGCACAAATAGGACTACTGAACTTGAGTGCATCGATATACCATTGATTAACTCGAAGCTGGTTGTACTGGTAAAAGTTTTTATTTTTCTGCTAGACATGAAGTATTATTTTTATTTATGCTCTCAATCACTGAAACAGTTTCAATTCAAAAATAGTTTGGGTTCTATGTCGAGACAAAATTGCTAATTTGAATTTTAGGTCAAGTTATTTCGAGTAGTATTGAAATAGCTCAAGTTGTAAATTGTATAGCTTTAAGAAGTGATTGTCCTGGCATTTTTACGATAAACTTAAGTTATCACACAACAGAAATTATATAAATGCAATCCAAGCAATCAGACTATGTACTTTCTATTAGATCAAACTAGAATATGTTTTATACTAGTATAATGTTACCTTAATATTATGTAAGTAGTAAAAGTTACAAACTAATACATTTGTGATTTTGCATGCATTTTATTCTAGTATAAAGTTGGATATTCAAGTTTATTTATGGTTTGAGTTGAATAATAGTTTGTTAGTGTTAGATTCAAATTAACCTACAAAAAAATTTCCGTGAACTTATGTATTCCTTTTTTAAATAAAACCTCGTATTACTTTTGTTTCTTGGTACTGATAATATTTAATTATTTAAAAAAATTTGTTTATTCAAGTTATTATTGATTTTTCAGCGGATTTTCTTTTTTATCATTCCATGAATATTTAAGCAAAATGCCATTATATCCAACTCTGGAAGATTTATTGGTTGATCAGTATAAGGTTATTTCTTCATCTTTTTTGTATGCGTAATAAAGATTATATTTCTAATTATAAATACACATTTATTTTATTGCAAAAGCTTGCATATTTCATTCCACAGTGAAGGTTATATATTTTTAATTTCACTGCAATTGAAGATTTTTTCATATTTTGTATTTGCTTAAATTCATTATTTAAATTTATAAAGTTATTTTATTTATTTACAAAAATTTTTTTAAAATTTTAAAAACTGATGGTTTTGCATATTGAACTTTTTTCAGTTTTAAGACTGATTTTGAGATTTATAGCATAATTTGTTTAATTTTAGATTTTTTATTCAAATTTTACTCTATTTTGATTGCCTCAAATAAATTGAAAGTTGAATTTTGTTATCATTTTAGTGATTTTTATATGCTTGAAATATTATTTATTAAAGTTAAAAATTTCGAATAATTTAAAACGTTTTATAGAAATTTGAATTTATTTAGGCAAAAAATTAGAACTTTGGTCTATGCTTACATGATATCAGAATCTCAGATTAAATATTGTTTCTTGCGATTCAGTCCAAAAATTTGTTTTGCATACAGTTTCAGTTATATTTCAGGGTTTTTTATGATTCAATTTTATTTTAGGAATCTGAAAATACTACAAGCCATGAGCATCAGTTGCTATTACTACCATCACAAATTGGTGCATCCATGCAACCATCAGCTCCAATTTACGAGCCAAACACTTCTAATTGTTAGCCATTTTGTTCTTTGTATATTAAATTGTTAATTTCTGTGACTCAAAAATTCAGTTTAATATTAGTTTGAATTAATTTTTTTATGCGTAAAAAATAAAGAAATTTGATACAAAAACATATCAATTATCACTTTTCATATCAAATATAATTCTGTAATTATACATAATTAATACAAATCAAAACCAACTGATTAGATTAAAATTGTAGTTGATATCTTAATTTATGATTAGATATTATGAACTGAAATTCAGGAATTGAATGAGTGAGTGGAATAATCAAACTTTATTAAATGTAAAGTAAAATAATTCGAAATATTTTTGATTGTAACATGAATAACAACTC